GAAATCTAGATAGATTGGTGTTTCACACCTACTTCAATATAGTTTCATAGAAACGGTTTAAACCACAAAGTACTGAGAATTTATTATGTCTGATCAACAAGAGAGATTCAACAAGAGAGATTAACTAAGTTTCTCTTTCTACTTCACTAAGTTAAGGTTATTTTCAAATTATTTAAATTCAAAATTTCCACTGAAACCTCACTAGAAACAATTAAATACACCAAACTACCCTAATAGTTTTTTACTATGGTTATGATAGGGCGACCTATGTTTTCATCACTGTAATGTCACCAACTCCCATCTGATATGTGCTTTTGGTTGAACAAGATTTTGACATGTGTTAATCATTCACTATAACTACAATGGATGATTATTAGGTTTGACGCAAAGAGTTAGAGTTTGCGACAACTAGAAACTTAATCAACCGATATAAATATTACTTTTAAAGAAGCAATGCAAACTTTTCATATCTTAACCTTCTTAGGTTTTATATTGTGTTACCGTAGTTAAATTGCCTTGCATTTAGCATTATGTTCACCAAAGATTTGGTTAGACCTAGTCTTGCAACCATTTGAGTGTATAATGGGACTAAACTGCCCCATCAATCTTTTATTGTGGTTATGACAAGGCAGCCCTAGTTTTAACTGAGTTTCACCTACTCGCATCGACTCTTTTTTATCGAATAAGAGTTTGACACGTATTAATCTCTGTCATCCACTCTCACTTGCTTCATTGTTGCTACAGTAGTTAATTACTAGGTTTAAGATTAAGATTTGGGCTTGGGACACCTAGAAATTCAATTTACCCAAATAGGGTGTCTACACCGGTTTGGTCGAGGGAGGTCAATGGTTCGAACAATTAGAGTTTTTCGTAATACACCAAACAGGCCTACCCTTTTCTATAATAGTCATGACTTTAAAAAATCCATAGTCATGAAAATCACTACCATCCATTCAATTGATCATATGGCCAACGAGAAAAAGTTGGGCAAGCCAAAATAAAACATGATTCCAATAATAGGTCCTACTTTTTTCATCACCTTCCAATTATTAATTAGAAAAAAATGATCCTTAGTGTGGATTTTCTGCCCTCCTAAGTATAATTTGATCGATATCATCATGGAAGCTTCATGATCACAATGCAACTATGGCCACGATGCTTATCGAACATATCGTATGATACCTATTTAGTTACATATTTCATGATTTTGTTTTTCCAAAATTACAATTACCAATTGTAACATTTGAGTTTCATATTGGGTTCACTCATCAGTCCCATACCCAAAGCCCTCTAGGAACATGCCTATTTGAGTTTCGTATTAGGTTTTGGATCTTATAATATATTTCATCTTTGTATCGGAATGCAATCCTAATATGCTAGAAGGCCCGGAGCCCCATTTCGACGTGCTAATAATCATCTCAGACACATAGTCTTGCTTACATTTGTGGTCCATCTTGAAATAGTATATTTATTTTTGGGGAATAGAGAAAAAGCAAGGTCTATTATTATTGTTACTAAAAAATATAGAATGAGACAATTTACTGTTGGTACGGGCTGGTCACATTAATCTTGATCATTGGATGTGATTTTGGATAGTTGTAATTATTCCATTGGCCAAGCTCAAACTTTAAAAGAATTTTTCTCGAAGTTTGTGACACATTTAAGCTATCAAATTTCATATCAGATGGTTGTAAGTAATTGTGACCATCTTGTATCAAAGATAAATGATCTCGTTGCATACAATCTCTATTGTTGTTATTGTTGTCATCGTCATTATAGTGGTCTCATGGGCAATTTGGTAACGTTGTAGATAAGCAAAATTACTACAAATAAGTTCCCCCATGAACAACAGTAATTATTCCATTGGCCAAGCTCAAACTTTAAAAGAATTTTTCTCGAATTTTGTAACACATTTAAGCTATCAAATTTCACAGCAGATAGTCGTAAGTAATTATGACCATCTTGTATCAAAGATAAATGATCTTGTTGCATACAATCTCTATTGTTATTATTGTTGTCATCGTCATCATAGTCGTTTCATGGGCAATTTGGTAACGTTGTAGATAAGCAAAATTACTACAAATAAGTTCCCCCATGAACAACTGCAAACTGCATCGGGAAGTCTCACTCTAAAATGGGATCATGGAAAAAAAAAAAAAAAATCCTACATATGACCTTAAGGTATTGTCAAGGTTAAACTAGAATTTCATTTGGCCTTAATAGTATATTTGTGGGATCCAAACAATATGCAACATGTCATCTTATCTATCTCTAATTATCAACCGATGGTAACGATTACAATGATAAAATAATACATGTAGTATGAAACACAATAATTAATGCAGAATACAGAATAATATGCAATATATGTATATGTGCACATTCAAGAAGGAAGATTCAATTGGATTCCAATTCAATTGAATTTATATAAGAGGAATTCAAAGGGGAATCTAGGGTTTAGGGTCTTGGTATGGAAAAACATGATTAAGGTTTGGGGAATAAATAAAATTAGGGTTTTGGAGAACCTTAGGGCACAATAGACTTTGTTGGAGTGGAAAGAAGGGTTAGAAATTGGGGAACTCTTGAAGAGCCCTTAATTGGCTCCTCTTTCTACACCTAAAGGGTGTACATATAGCATTAGTCCTAAGATTTGATGAGAATTTGTAGCTATAATCTATTCAAAACATACCTCATGTGTGAATGAGTGATTCAGGAATCTATTCAAAACATACAACTCTATTTGTGTATGTATCTTACATAGACTCTATGACATGTTTACTAAATTGCTCATGACTTTTTAATGGAGCATCAAAGTGAAGCAATTCTTAATCATTTGGAGTGCTTATAAAATTCATGATAATTTCATACATTACCTATTTTAGATGTACTTTTAGGTTTTAGCTTTGTACTACTTGTGCTCTTGTAAGTCTAAACCCTATCCTAAATAACAGCACTAAGAGATGGGCTTTTGTTTATACTCAAATCTAGAAAAAAATAATATAAGACTTCCCTGACTATATTCACAAAAAGTTTAAAAAATATTGTAATATTGAGAATGTTAACTTTCAAAGAAGGTAATTTTTGGAAATCTTTGTATAGTCAAATTATAATTCTCAGGGTATAAATTTATGTCAACCTTCTCGGAAAAAACCTCTGAAATTACTTGAATTTAGTCAAATTGAATATTGGAAGGTAAAATTAGGTTTAAATGGATTAAAAAACTAAAAACCTTGGGTTGAATCTAGTGAACTGGATCTAATTAAGGTTATATTAGTTTTCCGAGAGACCTTGGGTTGAGCTAGGGTTTATTGGAATTTTGTACTCTCCACTATTTTGGTTATAACTTTCCACCAGAGTTTCTGATTGAAGTTTCCAACCTTTTTTTGAATTCTAATAAAAATATTGTCTACTGGAATTTTATTTTTATTGTTAATTTTTCGTTACAATTTTTCTTTCTAGCCATTGCTTATTGATGAAATTTTATACCGTTCACTGGAAACAATCCTCAAAATAACCTCTACCAAGAGTGGCAGATCACTTTTTTTTGTTTTTTTTTTTGTAGTTGGGGGCAGTATAGGAAAAAATCAAATCGGAACGGTTAACCGGAGATGGGGCTAGAAGCTGCTCAACTAGCTTAATCGGTAAACTGACCGGTTCAACTGGCCTAACCAGGCAAATCCCGGGGGGGTAAAAAAAGTGTTAAAAAATACAAAAATAGAAATCTAATAAAATATAAAAAATATATTTAAAACATGATTAAACAAAGCACATCCAAATGAAGTTGAAAAAAAAAAATACATTTTAAATAATTGATTTGTGCCCAAGGATTTTTTATTTTCTAAAACAAATGAAAAAAATGTAAAAACAATTATTAATGGCCAAATTAATTTCCAATCTTTACCAAAATAATAAAAACTATTAAAAAATACATTACAAATAAAATCCTTTATGTTTTGAGATTTTATATATTTATTTATTTATTTTTAAAATACCTTGCTGTTCACCAACCAAAACTGATAAGTAGCCCTTTTCAATTAACCGGGCGGTTAGAATCTTTCCACCCGATTCTAACCGCCCGATTTTTTCTATGCTCGTTGGGGGTCATCATCTGGCCTACTTAGAAGTTATAACATACCATACAACTAATACTAAATGACCTCTAATTCCCAATTCAATCGCATTGAACTCCGGTTACAAATGAATAAAACCTCTTATTAGAAAAAAAACAGATGTATTATGCTCTAGTGGTAGCATTGCTATGCTCTAGTAGTAGTATTGTGGTGTACTATTAATGCACATCAATATCTGGTTGCTGCAAAATTTTAATTTTATTTTTAGAGATGTGGATAAAATTTTTATTTATTTTTATTTAAAGTTAATGGTTAGAAATAAATTTAATCCATGTATTTAATTTAGTTTGATAAATCTGTTTTTGCTTTTTTTCTTTTTGTGAGTTGGTTTTAGATAGGTTTATATGTATCTGCTCTTTTGTGGGTTTTTTCTTTTCCTCTAGTACTTGTGGGTACGTCCTAAAGAACCTGGATCGGCATGCTTGTGCTTGCTTCTTGCTGATTTTTTCTCTTATTTTTTGTTTCTCTTTCTAAAATGCAATTGGTTTGCCTGTTTTTGGCAGCCGATATTTCTCTCTCTAGAACATGGATTTTTTGTTGCTTATTGGCGTTTGGTAATTTTAAACTGTGTCAATGAACATCCTCACTTAGAAGACTTACTTGAAAAGAATTTTTTTCTATCTATAAACTTGAAAACCATCTAAAATTCACTAAGTGATTATTTTCAAAAGAAAAAAAAAAGTTTTTTGAATTTTCTAACATGTAGATCTCACCTTTCAAAAATTAGATGGTCTCCATTCAATTGTGACATTATTTCTTTCCAGCCCCAAGAGAACGTGATTTGTAATTTTAAAAAATTGGATGGTCTGCATTCAATCTGTGACATTGTTTCTTTCTATCCCATAGAGAAAGAGATTTGTAATTTTTTTTCATTTAAGTTATCTTACGATTTGAAGAGGTGACATTCATAAATTGGAGTTCCTAAAAACACCCCTCCCAACGGATTTTAGTTAAGAGAATAAATGAACAGTACGCTCCAACAGGCCCTGATGATGAGATCAAAATACAGTCATGGTACCCAAGGGTCGAATTACTTGTAATAGCTGAGAACCGTATACTGTGTCTGAAGCAGCGTTAGTAGCAGTAGCAATACTGCTGCCAACAACGATATGAGCGTCCATGGGTCACTAAGGTAAGTGTGGACGAAGTAAGCCCTCCACCTGTTACGACGCTTCTTGCAATAGCGGATGATCCTGGTCCGCACCCCCGTCAAGTGGGGATTTTCAGAAAAGACCATCCCTTTTGTGATTCTGTTGAAGACCTCAGCCACATCTGCATCACCTCCCATTCTATTCTCAAGGATGCCTGAAGAAACTAGCAGTGCAATGTCCATAGTTGTGTCTACGAGATCATCCAACAAGCTAACATATGAGCTGACCCAGTTCGAATGCCTGACGTGCAACTGTTCAAATGCCATCATATTTAAAAGAAAGCCTTCCTGTAACATGAACTATAAAATAATTAAAACAAAAATAGAATCAAGCTCTTTTTTTTCCGTTCTTTTCACAATTCTTGAAGCGTGTGTGTTCTTGTAATGGCATCAAATCTAGGGAGACTTGTTTGACAAAAAATTCTTTCTAGACCTCTAATGATCTTCACTACCTCTTTTATTCTTTTATCTTGTTTTTTTAACTATTTTTAAATTTTCTTTTAGGAGCTTTTGGCATGCAGCATTACTTGAGTTATTAGGACACGGCCAAGGGTCGAATCTTATGGCCAAAACATATTTAACTAAGGCACCAAAATTGGTGGACGGTGGACACTGTACCAAATCCATCCCTCCTTAAGGGATGTTGTGTTTTCCGGGATAAGCTTTCTTTGCTTCCCTTACAACATAAAACTTATATACTTCTCCTTATCCAACCATCCATTTTGAATGGATTACAAAAATGGCAATCAAAACATCACATCTCTACACTATTTTATTTTTAATTTTTTTTTATAAAATATTTTGACACCAAATTTTGGACGTCCAATCCTTTATTAAACTCACACATCTAAAAATTATAAAAACGATATTCTCAATAAATAAAATGACCAAATACCTTTGAAAGTTTTGAGGGGTATTTCGGTTATTATATTTTATCGAAAAATTATTTTTAATATTTTTTTGTAGGTGCGCCTCAATGAGAAGATGACACGTACCAAATTTCCTATCCATAAAATTTGTATAAAAAAATTAAATATAAAATACTCTGATGCATCGGATCTAAGATCAAATAGTGAGTGACTCATTTAATCAATATTGGAGGGCTAGACGGTAGGGGAGGCATAGATCCTCTACGCTCTAGGGGAAGTATAGAAACCTTTCTCATGTTTTCCCTAATCTAGAAAAAAAAAAAAACCGTTCTCATGTTTTCTCATCGTATTGGAAACATGCTATATGTGTCAAATTAATAATAGAACATTGCATGAAAAGAAATAAATAAAATACTTTGATGCACTCAAGTTTTTCATTTCTATAATGTATTCAACACATCGATAACATGTGCTGGATTGTAAAATTGATTTATAAAACCAGCCTGCATGTTGAGTCGTTTAAGGAGACTTTCCCAACATGAAAGGTGTTTGCATTCAGTAGTCGCAAAAATAAGTAAATAAATAAAACAGGTACTTAAAGATCGAAAATAAGAAATCTGAATTTTCTTTCAATTACATTTTTTTGGTCTTTTATAAATACAAAACACTAAATAAGTTGATATAATCAGCGTTTTCAATTTTAATATATCTTGTTATCCGGTTTGGGCTTTGTTTAAAGTAGTAATTTTTTTTTTTGGTGGTAGTTCAGTGGGGAAGGTAGCCACTACCCAATTTTTCAAATAGTTTAGGATTTAGAATTTCAAATAGTTTAGGTGTTATTAAGAATGAAAACCACATGGTGGCGAAGAATTGGGGTTGCAACCACCACGACTCCAACCGATTTTTCCAGAATAGAGTGGTGATTCCCCTAGCCTTGGATGATTCAAAAGAGGCTATATTACAAGAAAAATTAGAATGGAAAAATAGAAAAACGAAAAATCAGGCACTTCCATGGATTTCTAGACAGAACAATTCACCTTTTTGATTCCGATCTAATTTGGCTGATCTTGAACCAGATTGGTAATGTCAATCACTGTGATATCGTGTTGATGATTACTACACTACATCCATCACAGGATTTAGGCATAGGGGCGAAGATATCTAATTTCTTTTATGAATCTTAATCTACTTATCTTGCATGATATTTTATGGTATGTCCCTCCACCTCAATAGGTGTACTTTGGTGACCATGAAGCTGTTAGAGATTCGGTCTAGTCAAAATTAGTTTGACTTCAAACAATAACAAATTTTAGATACTATTTAAAAAACATAAAATATATATCGAAAAAGAAAGTTGCCAAATTTTGGATGGACAATCTAATCAATTTGTACCAGCCAAACAGGTCAAATACTAAATTTATTTGAGTTTTAACCAAATTCAATTTTGCTCAAAAAAACGAGACCAGTCATAGCAACCGGTCTGCTTCAGTCATGAGAATATGATACGTACTGTAGATCCATGAATGGCTATCCATGGTAGCCGTAGTATTCCATGCTCGAAGGTGATATCCATGAGCCCACTCATGCCGCTAGTTTCGAACTTCACCCCAGCTTCATGCAACTCTGTAGCTGAGGGCAACTTCTTGAAATATGGCTCTGGGTCGCTTACCTCCTCAACCTCAGGCACCTTACCACACAGACTGCTCATCATGTAAATTTGCAGCGTATGCAACCCCATCTTGCCCTTGAAAACCTCCCCTTCGAGCTCCTCCCCTAAAAGCTCAAGCACCAGCTCATTCACCCGGGTGCAGATCCCTGTTCCAAGTGGGTCTAACAGAGTGTTCAAGACTATTACAGGAATCTGATTCTCCAGCATCATAAGGTCCTGATCGGTGACATGGTGTGCAAAGAACAATGCCGATTTTGAGCCGAACACCGGATCCTCAGCTGCATAGCCTGTCTCATCATCTGTTTGGCTGACACGGTGGAGTTCAAGCAGGAAACAGCCATCGAGCAGCATCATGTGAAGGAATTTGGTGCTGTTGAGAGGGGCCAGGTCGTTGGGCCACTCGTAGCAGTCCCGGATCACCTGCTCCTTGGCTTGAAGTGCAGTCAGATAGACTTGGAGAGGGTGGTTCGAGCGATCGAGGAAGTGGAGGAGCGCGCGACGCTTGTGTTGCTCCATGGGTTGGAGGTGCGGGGAGCCATGGTGGAAGGGCCCCAATGATACAACCCTGGGAATGAATGCTTCTTTGTGGAGCTCTTTGAGGAAGCCTGGAACTTTGTATATGCAACGTTGTTTCCATTTCTCGGCCTCCTCCTCTCTGTTTATAGTCACCTTCCCATTCATCAAATCCAACATCCATTGCGTTTGTGGTTGCTCCCCTCCTGTTCCCATCATTTTTGTGTCTTGTTTCATGAGCCTTTTAGAGCCTGGACTGTTTCAACAGACTAGGCCACTGATCGGACCTGTCTAGGAAATTAAATA